ACTGGAGACACACAGGTTCTAAAATAAATAGAAGTTGATGGGGAGGGATATGTATATCACCTTGAGCTTCCAGAGGAATATGAAAGATGAATGTACAAAATAAAAAATATTAACATATGCCAGGAACAACCTGAATAACAAGGCATCTCTGTCTATGCTGCTTTTCTCTCCCTGTTAGAAGAATCAAAAACATGCAGTGGCTGCTTAACCAAGAAATGGTTTCCACCACTAATAAGAGTTTAAGCATTGAGAAGACACTGAAAGGTCAAAGGCACTTTAAGCATCAATTGATAATAGGCTTGTCTGTCAGGAAATTAGGCCATTTGGACATTCAAATATCACTATATTTCAAAATATATCTAAAAAGTAAATTGTCTTCATTTTATGAAAAGAAAATTACACACATATTGCTTTTGCCTAATTCCTCTTACTCCATTTCCAGAGTATATAACCAAAATAATTGACATGAAGGACATATCAGAATAAAAGTTAACTATTTCTCCTTTCAGTAACATTATTTTTCAACCTCTAAGCAAAAAAAGCCAAGAAAGCACCTAGAAAATTGGAGCTCTGCCTCTTGTAGCCAGACAAGACTGTCTAGTTATGGGGAAAAATAATTGCTTCACCCTAATAATATGGAATACCAATTCATGTTTATTTTCTGCTGATGGAATGGCATCTATTCCTGCATCATCCTGGACTTATTTAATGTGAGATATAATAGCACTACTGCCACAATGTATGCTGAGCAGTAATAATAACAGCCAAGTACTCAAATGGCTGTTATTTTGAGTACTTTTTCAAAATTACTTTCTGTCTTGAAAAGGATGGAAAACTGCTCCTTTGGAATATATTACAAATGTAAGGAATTCGAAAACAGCAATACAAGGAAAAGGGAAAGCTAAATCTTGCTGTTTTTTTTGACAAATAGATATGCCCATTGGAAAACACTGGATATTTTTTGTGGCAAGATTGGTTTTGTGCTTTTATAACAGAAACCTCTAAGGTCAAGTTGGCTAAATTTAAGCAATCATGATCATTGAAAACCACTTACGCAGTGAGATTACCAATTATTAGAATATATGTCTGCCCCAGAAATTATTCATATATGTCTGCCCCAGAATAATTAGATTTAATTAATTTTAGATTTAAAATCCTAGATAAGCATCTCTTATGTACATTAGGCCCATCATAAATTAACAAAAATGATTTCCTTTTTTAAACAATTCAAATGCAGTAATTGCTTCTTATTGCTTAAGTGCTTCCTTATTGTGGTCTTCTGTTAAACTGCCCATTTCTCTTAGGAATACAGACCCCTGGGAAGAAATGGGCTTAAGAATTGCATACGTTGCATATTTTAGTATCTTTTGAGTCACTGGAATGAAATAATTTCACAATGCAAAAACCTGTTCTTAGGAGATAGAATTTGAGACTTCGTAATCTGCTTACCATTCTGATCCCTTTACAAAATGCTTTTTCCTGAACTTTTTTTATCAATACTTTCTGTAAGTCTTGAGTGGCATCAAAGCAATTTGAGCGTGATTTTTTTCTTTCATGGACTGCTACTCACATACTTAGAAACTTAAATAAATATGGAGCAGTTCATATTATATCTCCTTATTTAATTAAGTACATGGATTAGAAATCTAGATTTGCTGTGACCCTTATCTTCTCACTGCACAGAAACTGGCAGAGGAGCATGGAGATGGCTTTTGTTGTACAAGTGATCAATTTTGTTAGTTTGACTGCATTGGAAAATCTGGTCTTTGAAATAGAAAAGGATTTTTCACTTGTATTCTGGAAGGTCATCTCTCAGATTCTAGTCTGTCAGTATAGTGACTTCAGTAAAATCATGTTGAACAACTAACAGGTAATTAATATAAGAAAGTTTGTACAATGGGACTATCAAACTAATCTCTTTACATTCCCTTATGCCTATTGGCAGACCACAATTCAGAGTGCCAAAAAAGGATTTGGTAGAATCTGTCGAAAATATTTTCTTCATCATTATGAAACAGTCTTGGGAACTACAGTAATCTTAGTACATAAATTAGTCCCATCATGGTTCCAGATAGGTAATTTATATATGGGAACATGAAAAATATGAAAATTTGTGGAATATGAATATTTGATTCAATAATGCTGTGCTCCTTCATGTTCAATGTTTAATATTTATGTTCCTGGAATTTAAAATTATCCTCCTACAGTTTTTGAGTCCTTAAGAAAATCTAGAGACTATGATGGTACAGAAATTTTCTATTTACCTGATATATCATAAGTAACAAAACAATGTCCATACTTTTAAGGGTCATATTGATAACACCCTAAACAAATGGGTATCATATTTGTATCTTTGAAGCAAAACGATATGCTTATTCTGAAAAGAGATTTTTCTTTAACCTGTATTATAATGAAAGATATAAGCAAACTATTTTGTTAGAACTTGTTCCCAAGAAAGAAAATCAAATTAACGGTTTCTTATTTTGAAAGGGCACCAAGAAAGAGTCAGCTTCTAGTTTTATAGTGTATACACTTTTTAATGTTTTTTGTACACTGCACTTACTGCATTATGAATCTTCCCACCATCACCACCGCCACCACCAAAAAATGCACTTGGAATATTGCTAGTAGAAATCATTTGAATTTTCTATTAATATTTTCAACATTTAAAAGTTTGAGGGGGAAGATGTAATCATAACTGAAATAGTATAGCAGATAGCAGATATCTTTGAAATTGATGACATAAATGTGACCATTATTTGGTTCTCATTAGATGGCACAATTTGTATTGTATTAGATGATATCTCATTTAAAGTTTTGTACTCTTGCAGAATTCTTTCCCCACTAAATAGGTCCTGCAATATTAAATTAATATGGATTTATAGTACAGTACTACAGCTAAAAGATTGTAAAGTTCAGTCTTTGTATTATATCTTGGACTGGAAAGTATTGTGATATTAAACATAATTAACCACCACAGGTTGTTCTTCCCATAGGTACCAGAGAGCATTTAATTCAGGAACTTGCTTGTAGGAACCTTTGCTTTCTGAAGTAATGGAAATAATTTATATGTTTAAGGACTGATTGAACAGTGTTAAAATAAGTTATAGGTCCATTATTTTCCTTCTGGGATTGGTGTAACAGTCACTTGAAATATCAGCTATAGATGAGGAAGTAATTCAAGACAGCATTCTGTTAAGAACTACTAAATAAAAATGGCAAAATCTTTATTTCAGCATTGACATTGGTTGGAGTATTTGGGGCAGGACATGATGCTTTTTGGGCTGGGCATGATCAACAGCTTCATAATTTAATGCCAGTTTAGAATTAATTCATACAGGTTTGCATATTACCTAAAATCTCAATTGATGATTCACCATTTGTATCTTTGCCAAGGATATATAATACTCATCTTCCATGAATAAGTGATAATCAGGGGGGCGGGCACTGAAAATTGTGTTTGAATTGCTATCAGGAGATGTGAATATTTTGCCTATGGCTTTTTCACGTATACAAGCTCTTATTTGACGCCACTGTCAGTGTGAAAATATATATTTGGACTGGTCTTTGTAGTCTTAAAATAATACTTGCTGCATCTCTGAATGCTGTACTGGATGTGATATCAGTAGCAATTTTGTCACTTAGAAAAATGCCCTCTTTTTAGACTCATAAGGAAAAGTAAAATATAGAAATACAATTAACATAACAAGAACCAGACTATTCTACAGCTGATATATTTTGGTGATTACATAGCTTTATCATGCAGCCCATGTGACTGACGTTATGGGATTAAGGCATAATATTGCCCTGTACTTTCTCTGTAGATTAAAGCAGTCAAATGTCATCATGTAGGCATGATAATATGGGATATTATCTAAGGAGCTAAAATTTATATTCTCAAATCTTGTATGACTATAAAAATAATATTAGACTGTGTAGGTGTTTTCAGGTAACAATTCAGAAGGAAAAGAGAACAGTGACATAGGAGAAAGTAACATCTCTTTTTGCTATTGGTACTTCCCGCAGCATCCCCTGACTGAGAACTACCCTGAAGAGAAGGGTTGGTAATAACAAAGAGTTTTGACCAATTAATGAGCCAATTGTCACAACTCCGCATAGCAGTTAAGTACAGTAATGCTGATGAAATAATGTTAGGCTGGTTTCTAATGGAGTATCTTATGGGATACAAGTGTGATTAAGATGCTGAGAAAAATGCTCTATTGGAATTTAAATGTTATACAGTTGTTACTCCATTGCCTTCCAGCTCTGCAGTATATACACCTCTGGTCACTTTCAACCAGTTTGCTCAGACACAGTGGGTTCTTGTTAAGTTGGCAGGTAGAAATAAAGACTGAAGCATAGGCAGTTCTCAGTTTGGTATGTGGAGTGTAGATTTTTGATGGATGTTATGTTTCAACGCAGAGAAAATTTAGTTACCAGATGCATAGAATATATTGTATATGGCTGAAAAACAATGGCTTACCATGTAGAGGATTTGTAGATATTATCTATCTTTCACTTATAATTTGGTTTAATAAAGCTTAAAAAAAATACAATCCAACATATTGAGTTAAAGTAATGCCCATTATGAAGGGATAAAACTTATGAGTACTGGGCTTTGATGCATTGGCTTTAAAGTCTGAAATTTCCATCCTTTTCACCCTGTTCAAACCATTGTAATATTTATTCAAGGACGTTTATATAGCACGCGCATCAGAAATGGATGATTTGCTTGAAAACCTTGCAGCATAGTACAACATACAATATTATATACTGATTTAAAGAATCCAAGCACCGATATTTCTTTTCCCTTTGCATGTACTAACAAATGTCATTGCTGAACTTGGCATGATAGTTAGATCTACATATGTACATTTTCTTCCAAACATCATACTCTTGATTATGTGTTCATGATTTTTGAGCAGTTGTACTAAATACTTTCTTAATTGAACTACATTTAAACTCCATAGATGTGTAGTAAATTAAATTTCATAACCACCAAATCTAGAATTTTCAATATCCAGGAACTGATTATTTGCTTTTTAGAGTAATTTTGTCCTAGTTTAAATGACATCATAATCTTTCTCTACAAAAAAAATCCCTAATCTGAGTTTTTAAAAGTTCTTACTGTTTCCACAAGCATAATTTAATTAATTAATTAGTCATATTGTAATCAGTAGAGCCCTCTCCTGAATATTGGATTGGTGTTTAAATTGTCCAGGGTTGAAATTTACAGTGATAATTGAGAGTTCATTCTGCAAGGATAATTTGGTACCAGAAGAATAGTAATGAATACAGAAAATAGTTTTCTAGTATTAAGTAGTCAGGCTTGTTGAGCAAAAGAAAGAGGGCTTTTTGCTTAAAAAATCCTTACTGTTCTGTTCTTTATATGTTGCTTCTTGGTATGAAATGCATCATCCCATTAAAGTCAAGATAGATTTAACAAAAGTTGAACCGCATGTAATACTTGGAGACCACACTGAATGCTACTGAATGGCTGTGGCAGGTTAATATTTCGAAGTAATGAATGTGATCTTGATTTATTCAGAAGTGGCAGTAGCTATATTCTGAATTTGGAACACATTTAGATAAGCTGAATTCTTAATATGGAGTTAAAATAGTACTAAAATTCCATGCTGTAGTAGACTGGAAAATCCCTCTTCTGCACCTTTCTACTTGATCACAAGACTGAGAAGCATCTTTTTAAGGAAATTACCTTTTTTTTTTGGTTAGCATGTACTTAATGAAACACTGAACTGGCTGAAATGTTGGTAAAATTTAGTAACTATAATGCATCATTTGGTAATATGTTCCCCTTTCACTGGGTCCTTTAAATATATACCCAACAATATTATTTTCATCCAGACTGTTTTTCTAAATCATATCTGGAGGGTTGGGAGTAAAAAAATAAAAATAAAAAAATACACATATAATTACATAACATGAAACAATATACATATTTTGGGTTGAGCATATTTAGATTCCAAACATCAGGAATGCAAATGTAATGCCAACACTGTTGTTTAAACACTGAAAATATTGTGGGTTTATTAAAAAAAAAAAAAAACACCCTGAAATACTGCATCACTCAAAACAAGTTGCTTAGAAAAATCTAAGCTTTCTCAGTATTTGAGTTTTTTTAAAAAATGTATCAGATCCCTGCAATTTAAAATAAGTTTATCTCCTTTGTGTTCTTTGATTACCTGTAGATATTACACTTCACATTCTTTATAGGGTAGCTGCTGACATTTGCATTGTCCATAGCCATTAATGATGATGAAGGGTCCTTCATGGGTAGGTTCATATTCATTATACGGTCCTTGGTCTGACATATTTGACATATGTAGCCGTGTTTGAGATCGTAGTTGCCTGTGGCTTTGAATCATTGAACACTGCCTAATTTTTCTTAATGTGGGAGGACAGCACTTCCTGGAGATGAACACTACAAAAATGATAAAAAAGAAAGAAAATAATAAAGCCATTGTTCCTGTAATTACCTGCTGGGTGAAGATGGCATTGTTTGGTTCAGGCATTTGCTCTTCTGTGGTAAAGGGTATGCCTGTGGTGGTTGAAATTTCTTTATCTCCCACATGGAAATTTGAGGAGCTTATTCGTTTTGTGTATTCAGTTGTTGGAGCTCTGTAAGTTGTAGCAATGGGTGTAACAACAGTTGATAAATTCCAGCAAAGCTGAAAACCATAAACTGCATCTAGAATATCCTCTCCCTGGGTATGATTTGGGGTATGACAAAGGATGGAGTGTTCCCACCGACCTTGGAAGCCACTGAGCCATGTGGCTAATGCACATATTTTGGGGCTGCATTCCCAGGGGTTGCTGGAGAGACCCACAGTAGTTAGGGATTTAAGTGAATATAAAACCTTGGACTCCAGAGTGGTTAGCTTGTTATTATCCATTAGGAGAATTTTAAGATTAGGCATTATTTCAAAAACTGTCATATCAATGGCTTTGATCTCATTTACAGACAAATCTAGCTTTTCTAAAGTGCCCCAGGTCCATTCCATCCCGCAGGTCAGGTTGCTAATTTTATTCCCTTGTAAGAAGAGCATGTGCAGATTGCTTAGCCGTAGGAAGTGAGCAAAGTTAATCTTTGTCAGCTGGTTGTGCTCTAGGTGAAGCTCCCTTAGTTTGGTTAATCCTGCAAATCCATTGCGTGCCAAACTTCGCAAGCGATTTGTGCTCAAATCCAAAAAATCCAAACTACGACAGTCTGAAAACAGACGGACTGGAATAGTCCTCAGAGAATTGGAACGTAAACTTAGGGTTTGCAGTTTACGAAGGCCATAGAACAATTCAGGATTCAAAGCAGATAATTGATTGAAAGAGAGATCCAAATGTTGCAGGTTAAGCAGCTGGCTAAAAGTTGTGTTTGGTAAATAAGATACTTTGTTTGAACTTAAAATTAATTCCTTCAGTTTATACAGTCCTTGAAAAGCATCTTCTCTTATTGTATCAATTTGATTATGGTCTAAATGAAGCCAGGTAAGTTGACTGAAGCTTGCAAACTGATCCCCTTCAAGTTCCATAATAAAATTGTGCCTCAATGACAAACCTAGACAGCCCTTGTCAGTGGTGTTTGGCACTGAGTGAAACCCCTGAGAGTCACAGTAAAAGAGCAGCTTCTCACAACGGCATTTTGGTGGACAAGCCGTGCCCAAGGCAGGCAGCATTTTAAAAACAATACTCATTGCATATACTGCTGCCAGCATAGGAGCCCCTAATGGCCACTTGAAATGTAAGCCTGCAGAATATAATTCAGGGAAACAACAAAATAGGATATTCTTATCAGATGTATGCTTACAACAAAAGGAGAAAGATTGCTGCAAATAATGACATGCATTAAAATGTTTTGAATCTTTAATTTAAAAAGAAAAATTCTTGGTAGGAATATCTAAGTTACTGAAATTACCGATAAGCAATTCCCCAGTCTCTTAAAAAAGTATTGTTTCCTAAATGTGCATTTCTACAGCAAGATTAATTGCACATTATAAACCAAATCAAATAATGTGAACTTACCCATTCTTTTGAGTACGTTGGAGGTTGCATTCAGTCGTAGTTTTAGACTCAACACAGTGAGTCTGTAAAAAGCTCTAATGTTGACAGCTTTTAAATCATTTACTCTCTTTACTGTTCTCTGATACTGGAGTAAATAAAAAGGCTTCACACCCCATTCCTAATATATTCCTTTGAATTCATGACCTTGATTTCCAGTGGCAGATCTGTTAATTCCTGAATCAGTGCTGAGTTGATTGGCAGGTTTTCTTTTACTGTACAGCTGTTTAATTGCAACCGCTTTCCACAGCTATGGCTTTTTTACTCTTAACTTGTTGATGGCAGATGGGTAGCTTATCACTGAGAGAAGCTTCTGTAGTCGCTTGAACGCATTTGCTGAAAAGCTTTCAGGGCTAAGGTACAGAACACATTTGCTTATGTGCTGCTACCACACAACTGTATATAGGCTGACGTCATCCTGTGACGTTCCTTTTTGTTTGGGTTTTCCAGAAGCTTTGCAGTTTAAGGCACTGTAGTGCATACTGTGAATTGTGAGATTAGACTACCACTAAGAGGAAAAAAAGTAAGAATTCTTCAGCTGACATCCGGGAGATAGGAATGACTTTGCAGGTGTCTCTCTTGTAGGTTATATGTTTATTACTACAACCTTAAGCTGCACAGTATTGATTTTTGTAATAGAGTATTTATGTTGGTTTTCTGTATGAAAATTGCAGAATTTGTGCATAAAATGATTAGCCCCTCCCAAAAAAAACTAACAAGGAAAAAGTCATACATGAAATAATACTTTAGAAACTATTAGCATTCACTTATAAAGCTTTTTAAAAAGGAATATGTTTATAAATTTATTGCTTATATTAGGAAAGCTAGATTTTGAAAATTGTAAAGTTCTGTGTGTAAATCAATTTTGCTGGGCTGATGATTCTTCATCTGGGTAGTTCAGATAGAATTTGGAAACATACATATATATATTTACATGCATACATGGATTCCATTCCAAATTATTGGATCCCTGGAAATGTGCAGGACAATAACATCCTTGATTATTAAATATGTAGCTTTTACTTCTTAAATTGAACTGAAGAGTGAGCCAGAGGTGGTATTATTTAACTGCACATTCAGCTTTGCAAGTAACGGTTCAAATAATGTGAGTAATCTAGTAAATAAAAATTCTGTTTGGGGAAAGTAATATAATGGTCTTACCCAACCTTGGCAACATTGAAACATAATTCTCAGTTAATAAGAATGAATGCTAACAGGACCTAACATTATGTATTTTGAGTATTGCTCTATCACTAAGGTTATAATTTTTTAACTCTTAAAGTAGCCTGTAATAAATAAATACACGCACACATGCGTGCATGCATGCCATTAAAACTATTTTTCTCAGAGAAATTACTTCCTTTTCACCTGACTCTTGTAGAATTCTTCATCAAGTATTTATGGAAGATAATATATCAGGAATTTTCTGTTACTGTAGTTAGAATTTTGAATATGCAGTACTGTTCAGAAAATTATTGTTAAATCTGAATGTTAAGACTTCAGATTCCGGGTTGGGGAGGGGGTTGTCTACAGATTTCAGCAGATCCCATTAGCCAACCCAAAAATTGTGGGTTGTCCATCTCCTTCTCCACTGCTAGAATGATGGAAGCTGTTTAACAGCAACCAAGGAAGCTCCCAGCCTTCTCTGACACAAAGTCCAAAGGGGTTCTCACTTGAAATAGTGATTAGTAGTTAGCAGACTTGACAAAATATGAAAAAGTCTCTTTCTTTCTTGAAAAAAGAAGTTCTGAGCTGGTCACTAGTCAAAGCTACCATATTACGTCTGCAGCTGAAGAAGCCCTTTCCTGTTCTAGATCAGAAACAGTGGGATGTGGGGCTTTTGAGTCTCGTTCTGAGTCATGAAGATATTTCCAAATGCCTTACCTTTGCAACTTCCAAATCAGATCCACCATTCTGATAAACCTTCTGATTGGGAGGAAAATGTGTTCACAGAGCTGTGGTTTTGAAACTGAAGATGCTAGACTTCCACATACCTGCAGGTTCCATGCTTTGCATGGCAAGTGTATCTGGCAAAGCTAGCTTAAAGTACTAAACTTCCCAGTACCTTAGCAGAGTCCTTTTTATTTTATATCCTGAAAACTCATACTCGTAAATCATACGTAATGGGTTTCAAATATTCTGTGTATATGAAAGGAAGAGGCCCTGAATTTTAGACAATGTCCAAGAAGTGAAGAGATGAAAAACTATGAGCATGCTCAGACATTATATGTAATGCACATATTTCTATCATATCAGGCTAAGGTTACCATTTTCTGCTGAAACCAGTCCTGGAGGCTTTTTTTCCCCCAAAGGACGTGTGCATATGAATCACTTCTAGCTGGGTGTACATGCAAGTGTGTGTGTGCGTGCGCAGGTATGCATGCATATGTACTTGCTAGAAGCCACAATCCAAAAAAAAGGATAAAAACTAAAATTGAATTCCTAGTTGCGTGTAAAATAAGGCACCCCATTTTTAATTGATCCCCTATATACATATACACAAACAAAGCATTCCCTCTTACATAAAGATGCAAGTGCGCGCACACACCCTGCTCCCTCATTCCAGCTGAACAGCAAAAAGAAAGAAAGAAAAACAGGATGGAGAAAAGGTGAGAAAAAGGGATAGCTGAGCTTGGACTGAAAAAGAAAAGATGGAACAAAACTGGAGGACAGGGGAAAAGATAACTGAAAAAAAGAACTATTAGCCCTCCATTTGTAAAAGGTGAGTATCTCCAGCAAGTCAGAAGAGGAGGATTAGTAGCTGTCATCCTCTGTGCCACACAGAGCTGTGATGTGTGTGTGTGTGTTTGGCACAGAAGTGTCTGACCTGTTGAAATAACATTTACAGTACTATTTATAAAAGAGAGAAACTCATCTCTGCTTTAATAATTATGGGACTCATTTTTAAAGATAGTAATAGAAAGCCATTCATTTTCTTCCCAGTGTTGCTGTCTTTTTATGTAATTGAATTGATCAGTTTAGATTATTGAGAGTATATTTGGATATAGTGGCTTCTGTGATATGGAAATCTCTTGTTTTTTCTTGCAGTTGCCTAATGCTCTCATGATAGTGGAGTAGGCCATATGGCTGCCATTTGTTAGCTGCTCAGATCCTAGAAGGGCCAAAAGAAGACAAAGTAGAAATAACAAAGGCAGGAATTTGCAGAAGCAGCCAGAAAAAAGGAAAACCTTAAAATAAAGTTTAAAGAGAAATATTCCAAATGAATAATAATAATGAGGAAGTAAAAAGAATGAGGTGAATATTGCATATAGCTAGGATTTGCAGGGTTGGGAGTTCATATTATAAGTGATTTGAGAGGATGAGCCAAGTCATTTGGCTTCCAGACCTTTGAATTCCAAGAAACTTTTTCAAGATGGATAATAGTGGTTTATCTTAGGTAAATCGTATGTATGACCAGAATCATTATACATTGGTAACATATTTAAAGGCAGCATGCATAAAAACAGCAGTGGTTCCTCCATCTGAATATTCATTTGTTTATTATATTTCTAGTCTACCCACCAACTACAGTACTTTAGGCACTGTGCACATCATTAAAATATATATAACAAGCCAATGCCATACAATAAAAACATACTACTGTATAGTGATATACAAGTTTAAATCCTACTTCACATATATTTCCACTTGTACTACAAGTCCAAACTTTCACCTATAATACATGAAGTATTATATTCAAACAAATAGGTATAGAGACTTTTTGGAAGCAGATCATTGGTTTGAATCCAGCTATTGAAATTTGTCTTCAGTTTATGAGATTCAATCCTTTCAGAGCACAATTTATAGTTGGTGACACATAGTCAATAGCTCTTAAGCAAAAAAACATGGAGTCAGCTAGAGTATGCCCATTTCAGAAACCCTGGGTTAGAAATGTAGTAATGTGTTTGCTGTAGATTAAAAGCCAAGGTTGCTTATCATAGTATACCCAGGCAATCTAGCATCCAAATTGATGAGGTTGTTTGAATTTCTGAGGGGGCTCCCTATATATCAAATGCTTTCGGGTCCAGCTTCCTTTTCCCATTATCCATAGGTACTGGAGGGGGAGGTATGACAAAACAGACATCATGATGCCAAACCCACAACTTTGTACTTGCATTGGATGCCAATATGTGAGGACAGAGTTTGCATCACCACATGCATGTTGTCATTTTAACATAATCTGGGTTTGCTGCAGTTACTTATGCATTATTTTTTGCATTTTCTATTGTATCTGAATATTTTATTTCCTGGTGATAGTAAGTATCCATGTTAGTTTATTTTTATCCTGCTTTTTTACTTAAAGATGGGGCCACTGCTAACATTCACCATTTTTTATTTTCAAAATATTTTAAATAAATATAACTAGCCTTATATGCAAGCATAGGCATATCCTGCTTGCTTAGTGAAATTCAACAGATGTTTTTCTAGTACAATACTGCCACCTGTACAAAAAGGGACTTTGTGTTTTACTAGTACTAAACATTTTGCCTGAGAAATACCATTCCTTCCATTCCCCTTGTCTTTTTGCACTCATATATGTTGACACAGAATCTTAGGTTCATGCATCACCTTCTCTATACTGACATAATATAACAAGGTGTATCATGTTCTAGACAGATGCCAAATTTGTAGACCTGGCACAAGAGCCATTGGCCATAAGGAGCTTAAGGAATTGCTGGGGACAGAAGCAGTTGCTAAATTAAGTGAAAGCAGTGATGACTCCATCATTTTCTGAAAGAGATGACCACTTTTAAATGGTGGAACTAATCACAAATAGATCCCTAAGGGCTGTTTAATCAAAGAAGATGATTAGTTTTCCTAGGAGTTAGAAAAATCTGTATTTAAGAGGTTCATCCTTATTATTCAGCTAAGTTTGCATCTGGATTCATATAGTATTCTAAGTCATGCTTTGTTTAACTATGATTTGTTGAATAGCCCATAATGCTTAATTGTGCTGAAATTAAACAACCATGTTATGTCTTAGTAAAATGTGTAAACCACCTTTAGCAAACCTAGAAATCTACAAGAACCAAATGTGCAATTCTAAGCATGCTCAACAAAAATTGTTGAGCATAATTATATATACTTTGCACCATTATATATACTTTGCACCATGCAGCAGTGATTCTGCATATTAGCTATAGGTGAGCTTTACTGCTTTGTTCTGGAGTTACTCTAAAATGACATCACTCTAAAGTTATATTATAAGATCTGTTATAATAGGATTGATTATGGTTTCAGCCAGATTAAACTATTATGCCAGAGAATTAACCTTTTTCATGTGTTCTATACTACATAAATGTGGATACTTTAAGGTGGTAAAGTTGGTCCACCATGTGCATTAGGCATTTTGGACATTTCAAGGACCCATGGCAACATTTCCTTTAAATAATAAACCAGCCTTGTCCTTTATTCTGAGTCTTACCATGATTTTTGTCCCAGAAATTACCCTGATACAGCAGCATTCTGGAAAATGAACATAGCAATTGACTCAGACAGCCGGTTATGAACTTTGCTGCAACCTGCTCCTCATAAGCCTGTAAAGTATAACTAAGGAAGCCAAATACAACATCCAAATCATGTGCATTATTAGATGTGTGGTAGAATTTGGTACTCTGGTTTCTAGATCAACCGATGTAACTCTTACATTCAGTCCAGGAGCTTTTTTCCTATATGCTACTGTTTTTATACACAAGACTTGCTAATTTCAGTTTGCTATTAACACTGAATCGGTGGAAAAGTCAACACCCAGAATTTAGATTTGCGCTGTTGTATAACTTTATACACTTTAATGTTGCGTTATCTGATTTTCTAGGCTGGACGCAAAGAAAGAAGTGATGCCCTAAACTTGGCAATAGACAAAATGACAAAAAAGACAAGGGATTTGCGTAGACAGGTATAGTATTAAATATGTATAAAATGCTCATGTAGTCTGCTATGTACATAACATACCATTTATTCTAGCAGTCTTTTCAGATCAATCAACTGTAGTAGACAACTAAATGCTTGAATCCCATTAAAACTGGGCAGGCTAACCTTAAGTCTAGAGTATGATACCTTCTTCACTTTGTCACATTCAGGAGTATAATAATATTTTTTTCTCTTACCCTCACCCCAGTGACAGGACCAGGCTGAGCAAGCCAATGTTGCCAGCAAATCTTGGCCCTCCCTGTACACCCCAGAAAGCATACTCTTCTGTATTAGTCATCAGTTGGGCAGGTGAAACTAGGATTTTTTCTCCACAGCTATTAGCAACAGTCTTCATTTGGATTATTGGGGGATGAGATCAGAGCCTTTGTTTCCTCACCCTAGGAAATATTAATGCATAACCAACAAGGAAATGGTCATCTAGAATGGATGTAGCTTATGCCTCTTTTTAGTGATTTCAGATGTTCAGAGAGAGCTGCGCAACAAATGGCTATACATTCTTGACCATTTGTTCAGCCCTTGACAGATTCTTTAGGGATCAGTATAGATCACCATTCCTTGTCTATAACATTGAATGAACTCTCTTTTTTGAACAGAGAACATAGAGTCATTAACTAAAGCAGTTCTATATCTCTGACCTTTGGTGACACCAAAATGGAAACTGAACCTGTGTTTTGACCTGAAGCTGTTTTAAACAAGTAATTTTTCCAGATTTCAAAAATAAAATCCCATCTACAATCAAATATTCTCCATAATTGCCAAATGTATTTAATAAAAGGATTACTGGTAAAATAAACTACATTTTAGCAATGCAGAAGTTGAAAATAGCATTTTACCTTGATGAAACAACTTAACTTTGTTTTGATTTCTCTTAGCTCCGTAAAGCAGTTATGGACCATGTTTCAGATTCCTTTCTGGAGACAAATGTGCCACTTCTTGTTTTGATTGAAGCTGCTAAGAATGGGAATGAAAAAGAAGTTAAAGAATATGCACAGGTTTTCCGTGAACATGCCAACAAGCTGATTGAGGTACTGTGATAATTAAATCTGGATGCTGCGTGCTTATGGAAAGCAGATTAT